GTTCTCCAGCTGAAAAGGACAGTTCATGGACATGTAAGTAACTTTCCCTTAGCATAACAAACCGAATCTCATTTTAAAAGGGGAGAATGCCATGTCTTATTTACTCCTTCCAATTAGCATCTTGCCAAAGACCAAACTTAACGATTCTAGTATCCACATAGTCTTTCTTCTCTACGGTGAAGTTCTGCATAGATATCTATTTTATCTCATGTTCACAAAAAAACCTTAGTGGTAGAGATGACTATTATCCATCTGATTTTTGCAAAGAGGAAGTGCAATGCATGGAAGGCTAGTGGATTATCCAAGATGACACCAATGGCATTTTGTTGAGCCACGGCTAGCACCAAGCTACCTGATTCTGAGCTTTGGTGGCCTCCTGGTTATTTTGCATTTAAACAGAAAGTCAGTCTGGTGTCACTAACAGCTGGCTTGAGAGGTCAACTCTGGTCAAGGAATGTTATCAAGAATCTTTCTAAAACATGACCTCATCTTATATTTATGTAGGGCCATAAAGAAATTGAAGGATCGGGACTGTGATCCTTGGCAGCCATCCCTTCCTCCTATTGTATGTCATAAGACAGACACTTTTCCGTTCATGGAAGCCAGCCAAGAAGAAATGGAGGTGGGTAGGCACCACTGTTGGTAAACTGGAAGTCTCTGAAGTCACGTCTCCACTGGCTTTAAACAACCTCTCATCAAAAATGCACTAGACCTAAATCCTTGGGTGCTGCTTAAGAGCTCAATTGGCTGTTTAGAACCAGACACAGAAATCAATGACACATGTCCTTGAAGACGGTTAGTTTCACCAAGTGAAGATTTTACTGGAGTGTTCCTCGGAGTGAGTCTGATATTTAGCATTCCTAAGTGATCCGATCCGTTAAGCTCTGGTGCAATATAGATAGATGGAATTCAGTGGCTGGTGACAGGAGAGTCAACCCTTCTCTGTCCCTCCACGCCCCCACCCCCAGCCTAGATTATGACTAAATGGCCTCTAATCAGTTTACAGGTCCCAAAGAAATGTCCGCCACTTAAGCCATTAGCGTGTGCGTGGTTTATCTGGTGGGTCGATAGCTGAGTTGGGGGTCTCTCGTAAATTCTAAAGAGTTGTGGAGAAAGAAGAAACTTCTCAAGGGTAAATGGAGTAATGGAGTGGATAGGAATGACAGTTAGCAGCAGAAAGCCCCGCTCATTTCTGGTGCCCAGAGAGACGGGAGACAGGAAGGACTCCCCGCTCTTTCAAGTCACAAGGTTGTGACAGCTCGTAAGTGGACTTGGAAGTGCTAACAGAATCGCTTGTTTTGTTTTTCTTTTGAAGTTCATCGGCTTCATGACTTAATGTACTATCGAGAGCCTATCACTAAAGATGAAATCCAGAAGCTGTACGGGAGCAAGGCATAATGGCTTGAGCCTCTATTACCAGAACTTGGGCGCCTGAGGCAGAAGGACCACTGAAAGTTTGAGGCTAGCCTGGACTAGTGAGTGAGACTATCTTAAACACACACACACACACACACACACACACACACACACACACACACACACACACACACAAAATAAATAAATAAATAAATAAATAATTTTTAAAAAGCCAGGATGGCTGAATGACTCGGAGGTTAAGAGCACTGGCTGGCCTTCCAAAGGACCTGTGCTCAGTCCCAGTACCCACATGACAACTCACAACTCCAGCTGTAACTCCAGTTTCAGGGGATCTGATGCCCTCCTCTGCTCTGTGAGATTTTGCATGCACATGGGGTACATAAATTTACACAACCACACACAGGCACACATTAAAAATAAAAAATAAATTATTTTTTAAAAAAATTTTATAGGAAAAAAAGAATGAAAATTCAATAAGAGTAACCTACCCCTTTTAAGATTTTTCACTCCACTTTTTTTGTTAGAGGACTGGCCATCTACATCCCAGTTGTGACAAGTGGATTGTTATGGTTCTATTCTTTTGAAAACTCAGATAGAGCTTTCAAAGTCTTAAGTACCTTTATTAGAGCTCACAAAAGTTACTAGAATTGTACACATTTATATTGTGTGATTATTCTACCATACTCTATATTTGGGGGTTAATTAAGTTGAGACATAAAATCTGGCCTTAAAAGATAGTGAAAGCCGGGAGCTAAGATTCCTTGAGTACCTGAGATTTAAAACGGTGCCCATTTTTCCAGGCTGAACTTCCACTTGGTATATCAGCAAGTGGTGTTTGCTATTGGGTAAGGTTTTTTTTGTTTTGTTTTGTTTTTTTGTTTTTTTTTTTCTGAATGCTTCTAAAATAAACTTCTTATCTTACAACAGCATTACACCTGCAGAAATATCACAGAAATAATATAGAGAGTTCCCATAAACCCCATGCCCCGTTTCTCCTGTGCATGTGTGTGCGTGTGTGACACACGCTTGTGTTTGCTGCGTGTAAAGGGGGCGGGCATCAGTGTATCAGTGCTCTCCCTCTATTGCTATCTGTCTTATTGCCTTGAGACAGGGTTTCTCACAGAACTGGAAGGTCATCATTTTGGCTGGACCGGCCAGCCAGCAAGTTTGGAGGATCTGCCTGTCCCCATCCATCCAACAGCGGAGTTACAGGGGCACGCAGCCATGCCTGGCTTTTTATGTGGATGCTGAAAACGCAAACGCAGGTCCTCATGCTTCACAGTAAGCACTGTTAGCCGCTCAGCCACCTCCACAGCCCTCTCCTGTGACTCACAAATTACATTACTGATGCATTCTTTTTCACATTTAAGTGAATTTTGACACACTATTACTCACTAAAACCCAGAGTTTCCTTAATATTTTATTCATATTTTCTTTGTAATGAATACCCTTTTTCATTCTAGGAATCCATACAAGATGCCATATTGCTTTTAGTCACCACAACCCCTAAGGGTCTCTTAGCTGCTGCCTGAGTTCTCCAACTTCCTTGTTTTTGGTGGCACGACACTTTAGAGATGTACTATGTAGGTACGTAGGACTACATTTTTTCAGGGATCGTGTGATGTTTTCCTCAGGATCACGGGGTAATGAGGTTTGAAGAGGGAGGCTGTTAAAGGGGTTTTAAGTACTAGAGGCTGGGAATGTTCAAGTGGAAAGCCCATCATTCTGTGGCATGAGGAAGAGCTGATGGGCTGGAGGCAGCCTGGTCCACAGTGAGCATCTCTCGGTTGGAAAGTTATTTCAAATACAGAATCTCCCAGCAGCTCTCCTAATAGCTGGTGGTTACTGTGAGTCTGCACTGAGTTTAAATCCTCTCTGAAGACTTACAGCAATCTCCTGTAGGTTTGTTGAGGGGGGGGGGGGGATGCTGCAAATTTGTACTGGAAGTTAATGTGAAACAGCACTCTCTTTATAGAAACGGTTGCCTTAGGGTCAGCATGACCGCTACAGCAGAAATGTGGAACTCCCAGGGTGTCTGTGATACAAAGATCTGAATAAAACGTGGGACCTATGCTGGGACAAATACCCCTTTGTGAGAAGAGTCAAGTCAGTGGGTCTGTGTCCCACAGCCACCACCTGAGACTATTAAGGCATGGAGTGGGTCACCAAGTTGTGTGGGGGCACACTGACGTCACAGCCCAGGAGAAGTAGCTTTGAATTTTAATATAAGAAACTGGGGTTGGGGGGGGGGAGTCTTGAATTGCTGCTCCCAGGAATTAGCTACTTTCTCCCATGTTGTACAAAGGTTATGCAGTTAGTAAAGGAAAGATATTTCCAAAATACAGAAAAGAAAATTAAGCTGATGTGTATGTTCTGTGTGCAGTTTGGGTTTTGGTTGATGAAAAGGCCATTATCTGTGTGTTTAGTCGCTCAGTGCCTGGTTAATCCCACTGGAATCTGTCCGCTGTGTTGAAGTTCTTCAAGCATAACCCGTATTTACTTAAGACCTATCTGCGCTCCCTCTGCTCCATCTTAATTCGCTTTCTTACAGCCAGATGCCCCTGCTCTACAAATGACTTCGGGAAGTTAAAGATCACACCTAAGGGAACATGGACAAAGCCAGGATTTGAACTCCTGGGTGGGCCAGTGGGCAGCAGTCTCAGCTCCTAACTAATCGCCACTTTAAACTCCTTGTGCATTATTTCAAAATGCCTCTGTGAGAACAAGTACCTGGTCTTCGCTAGACTGTCAAGGTCACAGCATTAATTTCTATTCATGCTTCAGAGTATCTCAAAGTAGAGGTATTATCACTACTGATAACCACTGTGAAGATAAAAGAAAAAAATCAAACAGCCTCATTCTCACTGACCCACAGACTGGAGTGGCTCAAAGGGAAGCCAGACATTCAGCAATTCTGTACCATGGAACTGTGACATGTGGAGCTTGGCACTCGGTGTTCTAAAAGCTGGCCACATAGCGGAAATTAGTCAGTCGGCGGTTGCCACCAAACGATGACCTTTCACTCTCTGTTCCCAAGACGAGAGACTATGTTGTCCACCATGAATGGCGTCCTGGGGACAGTGGGCACACTGAGGCACTGGAGGAACCAGGCTTGCCATCCACGGGGATGCACCACAAGGGAGAACAAGGAGATGAAGAATTAGCCTGTTCGGTTACTTTCAATGGGCTCTAGAAATAGGGCCTTCTGTCGTCTTCACCCAGAAAACCCAGTATTCATTAAGTATGGCAAAGCTATCTCATTATCAAGCCAGATTTATGTCTAATGTTTACAGATGTGTATATGTGTATAGATGTGCACACACACTTGCATGCACACAATAGTTTGCCTAAATTCAAGTTCAGCATCATGCAGCGCTCACCCTCTCCCCCAGCCCCAGCCCTCCCCCACCACGTCACAAGTTCTCCATATTTAGTGGCTCCAGCTTAACCTGACTTTTTTTTTTTTCTCCAAAGCCTAGAAATGCAACAAACAAGAATAAAACCAGACAGGCTTATCTTGACCTCACAACTTCTTACGTAAATGAAGCTGAGTTTTCAGACCCCACACAGAAATGTTTCCTTCACAGTCATGACATAATCAAACTCCATGTTCTCTCAAGCTCTGGCAAACGCTTTATTCTCATCAAGTCTGAAAACCACTGGAAGCCAAACCTGAAGGATTCCTTCAGCAAAAATATATGAGTGCTTTACAGAAAGGTCAAAGAAGTTGTGAGAGGAAATGCCAGTTTCTGTTAACTGTGTTCCTGCGTGCTTCTCTTTGGTAAAGTCCTCACGCTTGAATAAATTAGTTACAGCGTCGGTAGAAATAAAAGAAGTAATCTGTGAAGAAAATCCCAGCAAAAAAAGGATCCGTCGAACAGTCCGCTAGATCCTACGGGAACAGGAAGAGGGAAAGATGAATGCAAAATCTAACTATCTCTGGTGTTTCTTTTATTTATTGTTTAGTTTCCTACTAAAAAGGAAAAGAAGAAACAGTCAGTCATGCTTACTGGTGCCGCGACTCGAAAGTGGTAGGCGCTGTCGGAGAACGGGGCCACGGGGAGTCTCCAAATGTGCCGATAGCCCTAAGTGACGAAGGAGAAACACCCATCTCACAACACATGTTACAAACACTCTGCTGGAAGGAGGGCAGGCTAGGGTGGCGTGCCCTTGACAACTGCAGGAGAGGTTCTACGACAGCGGTCTTTGATACATGTTGCTAGAACAGTCTACAGTCTCTTAAGGAAGCAAGGCCAGTGCTGAGCCAAGCAGGGGTGACGGAGGTCAGCTAACGAGAAGTGTTGGCATTGGGTTCCGGGCATGCCTCCCTCAGCAGGGAGCAGAGGCCACCACAATCCTAAATGACTTCGACTGGAACCAGGACCTGAGGTTAAAGAGCCAGCCGGGAAACATTACCTGCGTCATCTGGGCGTCCTCTCTGTGGCTCTGGGTTCTTTCCCTTTGACTGTGGAAACATATGTTCCCAACGGTGAATTTGCATTGGAAGATTATCAGTGGCTCGGTTGTGCTTCGAGAGATGAGAGGACAAAAGCGGTTAGCAGAGTCTCCTACAAAAGTCGTCAGTGGTTTGATTCTACCAGGCTCCATTTTGATAAGATGACTGGTGGGGATTAGGGGTGAAGTTATAAAGCCTCCCTGAGACCACGCCTTAGTCAGGGTTCCTACTGCCTGATGATGAACACCATGACCAAAAGCAACTTGGGGAGGAAGCTATTTATTTTGTTTACGCTCCCACTCTATTGTTCATCATTGAAGAAAGTCAGGACAGGAACTCACGCAGGGCAGGAACCTGGAGGCAGGAGCTGATGCAGAGGCCGTGGAGGGGTGCTGCTTACTGGCTTGCTCCCCATGGCTTTGCTCAGCCTGCTTTCTTGTAGAACCCAGGACCACCAGTCCAGGAGTGGCTCCACCCACCATGGGCTGGGCCCTCCCCCATCAACCGCTGAAAAAAAAAATGCCCGATTTTATGGAGGCATTCTCTCAATTGAGATTCCCTCCTCTCAGATAACTATAACTGTGTCAAGTTGACGTAGAACTGACGGACACAGTCTACAGCAGACATCTCGTTACGTAATCCTCAGTGATGCCAAGAGGCTCCCTCTCATCTCACTGTTATAGAAGGAAGCTGGTCCTCAGATGTCTAACTCGCCAAAGGGTTCAAAGTCTAGAATCACGACTCTAATCCCTACATCAAAACCTCTTAGCTCCACCGGTCATTGCTTTTGGATACATCTCTTCTCTTTTCGCAGGCAGTTGGATTTGCATTTACCAGAAGCCCCTAAGACTTTAGATGCTGCGAAGTCCTGGTTTGGGTAGACAGTGTTGGAAACGGCATGGCAAGCAAATGTCAGCAGTGATTTGGAAGGGAGGAGAGATCGGCAGGGGTGGGGTGGAGCTAGGCAGTGGTTGGGGTAGAGGGTGACTGGAATGCATTAGATACATGCTTGAAACTGTCAAAGAACTACATTTTTTTTTAAAAAAAAAGAAAGAAATCACCACTTTTAAAGTTAGGAGTCATAAGACCTATGAAAAAAGTGTCTCTTCTCTAAGAGGATGAGATTCGTCCATTTTTGCACAACTAAGAGAACCCCACATTCTAAGTTGAGTAGCTCCTCATTCTTAGGGCATCTTTTCAAAGACACCCAGTGGCTGCCTGGAACTACAGATGGCACCAAACCCCGTGTTTACTATCTGTTCTCAGATACATACGTTTCTATGAGAAAGAATAATGTTTAATTAAGTATAGCAAGAGATTAACAGCACTGAAAATAAAATGGGAATGATTATAACAATATATTGTTCAAAACATAAGAACTGTTTATCTCTGGGAATTTCCAATCAATATTTTTGGCCCACAGTTGATCATGGGTAAGTGAAGTTATAGCTACATGAGGACTATTATATCTGTTTTTTTTTTAAATCACTGGTATTTGAAAACTGGTTCATAAACCCACAGTATTGATCTAGTGGTTCAAGGAGATATGGACCTTCAGGGGTTCTAATGTATAATCTTATTTGCTTCTATGAAAGCTAGGAATGAGAACGGAAATGCCATTCCGTGTTACCCAAGGGGCACTGGAGAGCAGCACACTGGGGCTGCGGCACTAGTACACCCAGCATTCACTTGACCTTGATGGATGGTGGATTCTTAGTCGTGAAACTATGGTTCTCTTTCCCAGCATGCAGTTGGGCTGAGTTCACTACCTCCGTGATGAGCAAAGTTAAGAATGAAGGAATATGGAAGCCCAGATGAGACAAGGGGCATAGAGAATGATGGAGGAGGAACAGCAGAGCCCAGGGAGTGGGGGGGAAGTGGAGAAGTTAGAGGTAAGGAGAAGAGGGAGAAGAGTGAAAATACGGGAACAGGGCCGAGACTAGACTCGAGGCCGAATAAGATTCTCTTCTCCCGCGAAGCTTACTGGGCAAGTTGGAGAAGTGGGTTAAAAGTTATAATTACTTAAAGCACGAGATGACAAGCCAGATATGGTAGTACACACCAACAATCCTGCACTCAGGAAGCAGAAGCTGGAGAATTGTGATTGCCAGGCCAGGCTGAGCTACCTTGTTTAAAAATACCCAAGCACTGGACATGTAGCCCAGTGGTAGAGCACTTGCCTAACATGCTCAAGGCCTTGGGTTTGATCCATACCACCACAAAAAAAAAAGAAATCTGAGCTATAGGATGATTAAATTATGACTCACAGCTGTGATTTTAGAGGAACTGTAGCTGTAAAACAAGCTATTATCCATTGAGTGCCTAACTGCGGGCCAGGAAGGGATATTGTCTTACACACATCTTCTTACAAGATTGGCGGGAGAATGGCTGGGGGCCCCCCTTGAAGCCTAGCCCCACCACTCACTGGCTATGAATTCAGAACATAGTGTCTCTGTCTGTGGTATGTATGTGCATGTGCATGTGCATATGTGGAGGCCAGAGACAGATGTTGGGTGTCTTCGTGAGATGGATGTTGGGTGTCTTCGTCTATTGCTTTGCACCTTATTTTTTGAGACAGGGAACCCCATATCTCACCCAACGCTAGACTGGCAGGCCAGGGGAGTTCTGCCTTCTCAGTGCTTTGGTTACAAGTATCACTGAACCCAGCTTTTCACATGGGTACTGGGGACTAGTCCTCATGTTTGTGTATCAAGTACTTTACCAACTGAGCTCTCTCTCCAGCTCCAGAAGCCACATTCGACCTGTGTTCCCTAGCGCCCCACCTGTAAAACATACGCTAGGAAGAAACTCCCCCTGGGAGGGCTGTCATAAGGACAGTATGTCCCAATACGAGCTGACAGATAGTCTGTGCTCCATGAATGACAGTTACTAATGCCATCAGTGTTGACAACAGTTCTCATAACAATGCTACATGCCATGGCATTAGGTAATATCCATTTTATAGGTGGAGAGATGGTAGCGTGGTAGATGGTACCTGTCTCTTCTAAGATCACAAAATGATCCTGGTCTGCCCAATTCAAAACACAGGCTCCTTTTTTATTTTTCTGCAAAAAAAATACCACCTACATTTGTATTCCCACCTGGAAGTCACCAAAACGTTCATCTCTCATCCAGGGGCCATGTTAATACTGTGTTCCTACCCCAGTTCAAAGGAGACAGCCAGGGGACACCTGTGGCCTGTGAATATCAAACTTCCTACAAGCAAGAATGTGGCTTCCAGTCCTCCCCATTCTCCCAAGAAGCCTAGGTGACCGCACCCTCTATACCCTTTATTAATTTTCATGGACTGACAGCATTTTATCTCCTAACTGGATTAAACTATGACATCAGTTCGGACTTACTGGCCAGTAAATGAGAAATTGTTTCTTACAGCCATACACTTACTTGATTTCCAGAGAGAATTTGACGTTGGTGGGTGTGTTCTTATTAACAGGAATATTATAATTATAAAGACCAGACCTGATTTTAGAAGAAAATAAAATCACAAGTCAAAATGTGTCCCCCAAAGCTTCAAGGAGCTTTTTACTATTTACTACATACTATATAAACTGCAAACTAACCCATGAAAAATTTAGAAAGTTGAGTTTAATCTGGTCCCTTTTCTGTAGTTTTCAGAGACAAGCTCATCCAACGTCAGAATGCACGTGTTTGTGCCTTAATATAAAATATAGAAAGTCAAGTCCCAGAACCAAATACCCAAAATCAAATGCCCAGGAAATGACTTTGGTCACAGAGAAACAAATTTCAGAAGACAAATGAAGTAAACTGAAAATCCCCCTGGAAAGGAAACATGAGATGATACCAGCATAAACCACTCTCCCTTTTGAAACAATTTTAGCAGGAAATGTATATATTTAGAACCAGAGTCAACTCTAATTATTATAGCCCTGATTACCACTCAGTGACGGGAGAAATTGCAAGGTAGACTTGCTTATCCCTAGGTCCACCTACCAAATGAGGGATGCGTGGAGAGAAGGGGGTACTTTACTGATGCTACTGCAATGGAACACTCCAGCAACCAGCATGTGTATATTTAATCAAGCACTCCTTATGACTGGTCATCCCATGGACGGAATGGAAAAACAACACATATCAGATGAGGAGGGAAAAGAACCAGCCATTTTAGATTCTCTTTAAAGAACAGCAAACTGAGTGTCAAAACGTGAAAGAAAAAAAGACACACGGAGCTGGAAAAGCCAGCATTTAACAATAGGTAAGAATATCAAATATGATATTGTGAACCTTGGATGTGTACAATTTGTACTTATCATTACATCTTTAAAAACCAAAAATGAGTTAGCTGTATATCAAGATATAAAAAAAGCACATCACATTGTGTACCACAGATATATTTCATTTTTTCTTGTCAATTACATGTCAAAAAAGCTGAAAAATTTAACATTATTGGTACACACACACACACACACACACACACACACACACACACACACACACACAGTCTACCTCAGGATCAGAGCTCAGAGCTCAACTGAGAAGCTTAAATACATGGAACTCCTTTCCCATTACAGACCTTCCAATATCTGCTGGTTCTCGGTACCCCCATTCACCCGAGAAAAGAATGTATAAGAAGGAACATTTTGCTTGAGTCTAGAACTTGGACCTGAGACATCTGACTTGTCACCATCAGGCCATTCTACCATATTAACTAACATCTGTCTTGGATGCTCACTAAAGGCATGATCTCATGTGGACTTGTTCAGTTCACAGAAAACTACAAAACAGAGCTAAATAACACCACCTTCTCACAGCTAATGTGAGAATTCAATATGATTATAAACATGGGCATCATAAATAATTTTTAAACACATTATTTTTAACAACTCAGCACATTCACGTATCAGGAAGCCTAATTGGTGTTAATAAATAAAAACCCGGAGTCAGGTATCAGGGTAAATGCTGAAAGATCAGAGAAGCAGAGCAGCCAGCCACCATTTCTTACATCTCCAACTCCTCAGCCTGAAAGGACCCTCAGCTCCTGTCTCCTCCTGCCTTATATTTCCTCTCTCCACCCAGCCATACAACTTCCTGTCTCCACTTCCTTAGTACTGGGATCAAAGGTGTGTGCCACCACTGTCTGGCTCTCTTTCTGTCCTGTACTGGATCAGTCTTGTGTAGACCAAGCTGGCCTTGAACTCAAAGAGATTCGTCTGTTTCTGCCTCCTGAGTTCTGGGATTAAAGGTGTGCGCCACCACTGCCTGGCCTCAACTTGAAGCCTAAATTCTATTGGGATGAAAAAGAACTAAGGCTGAAAACCTATAGAACTCACGCCCTCCACTCAACTGAAAGTAATATCTCACCTCTAGGCACCCAACAGGTACGTATCAAATTAAGAAATAAAATCCGTTCTGAATGTCTATAATTTTCATTTGCGCTTGCTGCCCCCCCCCCCCTTGTATTCTATGTGTCTAGATGCATCACTGCTCTCCTTGGGGATGGGGGATGGGTTATGATAAACACCGGGGATGGATGTTGCAGAAAACGTCTGAAATACTTCAGCAATTGTTTGCCTCCTAGAATAAAAACTATACTAAGCTAAGCTAGATTTCCATCGCAGTTATAACAATATCCTTTGTTGTTATACAAATGTCAACTCACTCATGTCCATCTTGTGTTCAAAAATCAACTAGCCACCGCGGTCATTAGTGTGTGCCCCCTGGAGTCAGCCTGTTCCCCAGGATTTTGTTTTAGATCTAGCCATTGAATGTGGAGACTGGGACCAGGGGGGTTGCGGTTTACTGACATTTGCTAATACCCACCATGTCTGATTCCCTCATCTCCCATGTACCCAATGTGCTTTTACTTAAGGAACAATGTAAACACACATGGATTTCAACATGAAGCTTTGGTTTTCATTCCAGTCTCAAAACTATACTATTGAATAAATTCCAAAAGCAGCCAGGGCATCCTGGGAGGCTTACCCACCCGCAGTGGAGCATCCTGCTGCAATACCGACGGTCTATCATTTGCTGGATTTCCATAATCTGAATAGAAGCAATGGTTGTATCAATCCCTGAATTAAAGAGAAACAGAAAAGGAAATAAACTCTTGTGTAGTGTGGGGGGAGGGGCAAGGGGAGTATCATGTTCCTGCTCAGTTCTCAAACTGCAGAATGTAAGCTAAGAGTCCTAAACAATGTCCCATCCACATCCAAATGGGAAAAGGAGAAAAAAGTCAGGATAACACTTTTGTTTTTGTTTGGGGGTTGAGTGCTTATAGCAAATCTCCTAGAAACAGCCAGCATCACATCCATAAGCGTTTCTGGACTGTAGAAGTCCTGCTAAACAGAAATTTACTATGGATAGGGGATGCGATGTGACATGTGATCTGCTTCAGGAAATGGAAAATGAACTAAAGATACAGTCAGAACAAAAGGAAGGTGGGAACTTCAAAGACTTATTAAAATCACGGAGCTCAACTGCAGCTTATCTGGCTTCAGTGTCCATCCTGAATCCCTCATTAATGTTCAGGCTGACATGGATTATAAAACATGGCTACACAGGTGTCCACAGTGGTGTGCGTGTGTGTGTGTGTGTGTGTGTGTGTGTGTGTGTGTGTGTGTATTGTGTCTCTGTGTGAGAGTGTGTCTGTGTGTGTGTGGTATATCTCTGTGTGAGTGTGATGTGTATGTGTGGTATGTCTCTGTGTGTGTGTGGTGTGTGTCTGTGTCTGTGTCTGTGTGAGTGTGGTGTGTGTGTGGTGTGTCTCTGTGTGAGTGTGTGTGTGTTTGTGTGTGAGTGTGTGTGTGGTGTGTCTCTGAGTGTGTGCTGTGTGTGTGTGTCTGTGTGTGCATGTCTCTGTGTAAGTGTCTCTGTGTGTGTGTGTGTGTGTGTGTGTGTGTGTGTGTGTGTGTGTGTGTCTGTGTCTGTGTGTGTCTGTGTGTGGTGGGTGGGAGTGGCAGGTAGGGTGGTTGTCACTGTTTCCCACTCTAGTAACGCTCTTACAGCTTGTGGTGCTGCCTAGTCCCAGAGGGCAAAAAGGGTGTCGCTTAAATGTCAACTCACAGTCGCTCTCCCAGTCAGGGCTGATAAGCGCATCTCTTGCCAGGAATGATTTGCTTTTGTCTTCTGAAGAGTAAAAACATCTGTTAGTCGTGAAGGCTTACTTGGGATGATAAACAGCTGACTGACCTGTGAGTTGACCGCATCTCCACCCTTCCCCTCTCCCACCCCCACACTTACCCACACCTATCCCATTTCTTCCCGATCTAGTTTCTTCTCATCCTCACCCAAGAAGCCATCCATTATGGGTAAGTTGCACACACACCCTCATATGTGGAAACCCCAACACTTTCTTCCTCAGAATGTCACTGCATTTGGAGATACAGCCTTTAAGAAGGGGGTTATGAGGATGGGGACAGCTGGACAAGTTCGAGTCCAATCTGAGAGCTTGTCCTTATCACAGCAGGTAATGAAGACACACAGGGAGACACCAGAGGTGTCTTTGTGCACGTACATATGCACAAAGAAAAGACCATTTGAGGACCTAGCAAGAGGGTAGCCTTCTGTAGGCAAAAGGAAAACCTCCAGAGAAGCCTCTAGATCTTGGACCTCTAGCCTCCAGAACTTTCAAGAAACAAATGTCTGTTGTTTACACCACCCAGTCAGGGGTATTCTATCATGGCAGCCTGAGCAGATTTCTCCATCATCCCAGAAGGCCCCAGAGCTCACAGCTGCCTCCTCACAGCCTCATAGCATGTACACATCAGTCAGTGATACACATCTGCCCCTGTGCCCAAAGTGTATTACTTCTGTGTTACCCTTAAGTTCAAATGTGTTTTTATTCCTTCTTGGTCATTTCAGAGTGAGAAACCTCTATTATTCTCCAACTCTCTATGACTTCCGGCATAGTCTTAATCATATTAAGGAAGCAGTTTTCTCTGATTAGTGAGAAACGAATGGTAGTTTTATTTCTCATCTAGATTCTGGATCAATAATGTTGTTACTCAAAGCCATTAGATTCATGTGACTTAGGATTGCTATCAGCATTGTTTGTGTGATATTTAAACAATGGAAATAAGTCATTAGAGGGTGGGTCTCTATGTGAATACATCCAGTATCGGAAGACTCCCAGTTCCAGGGACAGGACATTCCACTGCTGGGCAGTCCTAAGTGCCCCTTTCACTGAGATGACATCTATCTTCCTGCTCATCTGTTCTGATGCCACTTCTACTTCGGGTGACAATAGGCCCTCAAGGCAGCAGCTGTGCCCAGCCCACGCCTGGCTCCTATGTGGCTGCTGAGGGTCATAGTTCCTCTCTTTCTAGGTGAAAACAAAAATCACTACAAACTGACACTCAGAAACCAAGAACGAGGAAGAAACAACCACGTGCATGTTCAATTTGATTTCTGACCTATCCTGGAAACTCAGAGGAGAGTAAGGCGATACAATCCTTTTAGAATTCAGTCCAGGTATCACTAGGGCATGGAGTCAAGGGTACATTTGTTCCCGCTGGCTTTTTCCACCGTGCCTACTTCCATGTCCGACATAATAGAGCATATCAAATTAGAGAACATGGTTCAAAGGTCATGTTTAGAGTGAGTAAAAAATGAAGAAAAATAAATAGAAGCAAACTATCTCTACAATAAAATGATGAAATATTAACCTTCATACAAGCAGCATTAGAGGTACCCAAAGATGAGCAGGGTTATAAAACTGATTGGGTGTTCCTTCCCGTTATTTAATAACTTGAATATTTCTATATTAGGGAAAATAATATGATATATATATATTTGCAGTGAAGGATACTAATGATAACTATACCAACTATTCATTGACATTTTCTATGAGATGTTGTTCTGAGCACCTAATGGCAGCCCAAAAGGTTGGCTGTCCCTACGTGACAGATGAAGACATTGAGTACAAAGGTCAAGGAACAGAGAAGGACTTACATACAGCCCAAACTGTCTGATTCTGTACACCACCATTTTGGGATCCTGGAATTACGTGAAACAAGATCCACACAGGGAAAAAAGTGAGTCTAAACTATAAGAGGAGGCTCAGCCAGCTGGAGACAGGAGCCAGATCACTGGGGTGGGGACAGAGGCAGGGCGGTCATTCTGCCTGCGGTACAAAATGTCATTCCCAAAGCACTGAGGAGGCAAGTGCTCAATGTCAGGACTATGAAAAATGAATCTTTTAATTTTTTATTACTTAAAAAGCTTTTTTTTTAAAGAGTATGTATATAGGTGAGATTTGGCCTGCATGTCTGTATGGACACCATGAGCATCCCTATGCCTGAAGAGGTCAGAAGAAGGCATTGGATCCCCTGGGACTGGAGTTCCCGATGGCTGTGTGCCACCGTGTGGATGCTGGGAACTGAACCCGGGTCCTCAGGAAGTGCAACAAGTCCTCTTAACATCCGTGTCATCTCCAGCCCCTGATGAATCTTTGCAAAGTAGACTTTGAGAGCAGCCTGGAGCTGGTGATACACACCTTTAATCCCAGCACTTGGGAGGCAGAGGCAGGCAGACCTCTGTGAGTTCGAGGCCAGCCTGGTCCACAAAACAAGTTCCAGGACAGTTAGAGCTGTTACACAGAGAGACACTATATCAAAAAACAAACAACAGAAAAAGTAGATGGCGAGAGCAATCACCTGGTGGTGTGAGGGCTAACCTTGGTTGCCAACTCGGTTTCACTGAGAAATGAATCAGCCACAGTTTCTTAAGCTGTGACCTTCCGGAGATCACATAAATGAATGTGATAGTTGTGAACTGTCTGTCAATAGTAAAAGAGCTATGAGTGCACGCCAATCAAAAATGAATTTAAAATCATGCTGGGCAGCAGTGGCGCATGCATTTAATCCCAGCACTCAGGAGGCAGAGGCAGGCGGATCTCTGTGAGTTCAAGTCCAGCCTGGGCTAAAGAGTGAGATCCAGGAAAGGCACAAAGCTACACAGAGAAACCCTGTCTCGAAAAACCAAAATAGAAAAAAAAAAAAAGAGTTAAAATTTTGGTGGGGCGATGGTGGCACATGCCTTTAATCCCAGCACTTGGGAGGCAGAGCGAGGAGGATCTCTGTGAGTTCGAGGCCAGCCTGGTTTACAAAGCGAGTTTCAGGAAAGGCGAAAAGCTACACAGAGAAACCCTGTCTTGAAAAACCAAAAAAATAAAATAAAATAATAAAATCACAAGCTGACTGAATTCCAGGTGTTTCAGACAGCACCCATCATGCCGCCCTTCCACCCGTCATGCTCACTTCTGAATGCCCCATGTGCACTCTGTCAACACACCACCTAACACCAACTTAAGATGGCCTTGATGACGTCATCTCACATTCAAGACTATAGTATGCTATCACGTTTTCACTCAACTGCAAAAGCTTTCTGCTCTTATAGCAACATATTGTTTGATAAAAGAAAGCAAAGCCTTTCAATAGTTTCCAGCCATCATTTCTCAGCATGCAAATACCCAGTTAATATATCTTTGGGGTGGATTGTGTTAGAATGTTTGATTTTAAAGACTGTTATTCGGGTTGCCAGCTTGAGTTTCATAAAAAGTCATTAAATGAATCCTGGCTTGGGATTAGGAAAGCATTTCTAACCATTTCTAAAATGCCCCCAAACACAGGTCTGCAATTACATACTATGTATTAATGCAGAGACATCCTCAGCTTCAGTGATGATAAAAATCAAAACATTGATCAATTCCAAAAAATAATAGAGATGTTCTGGGTCCTTCAGTATCAAATATTCAACCAAGACTTAATTATTTTTAAATATGTCTTCTTTGTTACATTTTTAATGTATATGTGCCTGAGGGTATATATGTACTATTCTATATGTGAAGGAACCCAAAGAGGCAGGAGGCAGGCATCAGATTCCTTGGAACTGGAGTTCCAGGTGATAGTGAGCCACCCAACATTTTTTAAAGTAAAAAGAATTGTTTTAGAGTGAATTTCTTTAAATACACACACACATGCCAATCAGTGTTCGGTTTTTATGCCAATTTTATATGCTTCTATACCTAAGGTCACTTGAAATTTCTCACACACACAAAAAAAGGATCATGGATAGAAAATTTTGAGAAGCCCTGGCCTAGGTGATTGGTACAGTACACTTCTGGGCGTGTCAGTAGGGTCATTTCAAAGATGGCTGCTATGGGGCAGCACCTGATAGGAAAAGCCCTACCCTGAATGTGGACAGCACCATTCAATAGATGAGATCTAGGATGGCATAGAAGCAGGAGAGAGCATTCTAGAGCAAGCCCACTCTCCATCTCTCCCATCTCCTGGCTGCTAAGAGGTGAGCCTCACCTCCTCATCATACCCCTGTTGCCATGGTAATCTGCCCATCACAGGTCCAGAATGATTCAGCCATTCTACCATCGACTGAATCCTCTAAGACCAGGAGTCAAAATGTGTAAGTTGTTTTTCTCTAGTATTTTCTCATGGTGATAAAAACAAACAAACAAAAAACCACATTATGACCAGGGCAACTCATTGAAGGATGAGTTGGTTTATCTGGGCTTATGGATCCAGAGGGACAACCATCTTGCATGGGAAGAGTGGCAGCACACAGGCATGGTGGCTGGAACAGCAAGCTGAGAGCTCACATCTTAAACTGAAGGCACAATGCAGAAAAGGAACTCCAACAGCAGTCTTTACGCTATCAAAGCCCACCTCCAGTGACATCCCTCCTTCAACAGGACCACACCTCCTAAGCCTCCCCAAACAGCACCATTAACCGGCAACAAAATATTCAAAAGTCCAAGACTGTGGAGAACATCTTCTTCAGACCACTCCAGAGAGCTGATCTTTGTTTTGTTTTTGTTTTTTGGATTTATGTCTGCATTCAAGTTTCTACATTCAGTTTCAGGATAGGAAGCAAAAGCAACTGGGCCCAATGATTAGAGACAGTCTTTCTTGAAAACTCTCGGCTCTTCCACACTTCTTACACTAGGTGGGAGGGCTTGCTAACACCCTGTTCACACGACTGTGACCATCTTGAAAATGTCTGTGTTTGTGGTTCAAAGGATGGGCCATGCAGGCTCTCTGTGGCATTCTGCAAATGTGTGCAGAAGAGTTGAAGGGAAAGGGGAAGGAAATGAAAAAGACAAGCCAGTTGTT